CGATTTTGCTGACCAAATCGCATGCTCTGATAGAGTCGTCGGAGTCGTCGTATCTTCGAGCAAGTCCACGCCAGGCGAGAGAGAGATTGCATGGCTTGGCCTTGTGCTGGGGTCGGCAGGCCTGGCTGTGGCCGCAAGCAAGCACCGAGCAATCTTGATCATGGGTGTGGGCGGCCATCATGGTAACGGCTATAGATAAAAGCAGTAGCAGTCGCAAGGCTTGTTGCATGCTGAACAGGACCGCATTGTAGAGCTAGGGAATGCATTCTCTTCCACAGCAACCTTCGTGCAGCTTTTCTGATTATATCCACAGGGCTGCAGCTGGCTTCTCCGAAACGGGCACTGCCTGCAAGCTAGTGCTTCTTGCGAAGGCTACTAAGTAAAACTTGCCCTGTACAGTTTGCAGACCGCTGACAGGAAGAGCGGGAGGTGAAGGTGCGCGAGGCTGGAGCGAGCATTCTTCCCTGAGATGAATTGTTTTCGGGTTGAAGTGATAGCATCTCTCGAGAATCGCAGAAGTATGCCCCCCGAATCTTGACAACGGTCGTCAAACATCGCGCCGTGATCTAACACCTCGGCCAGGAATCCTTGCGAATCTTGTAAAGCCTTATCAAATTCCGGATCTCGCAACCTCGAAACTCCAACCCTAGGTCTCTTAGGTCCCTGAGTTGATCGGGAAGAGGGAGAGAGAGAGAGAGAGAGAGAGAGACGTCAAGCAAGCAAGCAAGCAAGAGAGAGAGAGAGAGAGAGAGGCAGGCCTAGGAGAAGGAGCCTGCCCAAACACCCGGCAAGCAAGCAAGCAAGCAAGCAAGAGAGAGAGAGACAGAGAGAGCACATGTAGGGGCGTGCGCGCACGGGGGGTACGGGAGACCGTGCTCCTTTGGCTGTGTGGAAGAAGCACATGTAGGGGGTTATCCTCCTACATCATAACCCTGGCGAAAGAAAAGAGAGAGCACAAGGGCAGTCACTGAAGCCCCAAAGCTGACCACTCAACAAAAACATGATGTGGCTGGGCGGGCCGATGGCCTGAGGGTCACGACGGGACCCCTGATCCCAGCAGCAGAAGAATAAGAATAAGAATAAGAAGAAGAGGAGAGAGTCTTCTACAAGGGGGAAGGTTGCTGTAGGTAAGGATTGTGCCGTAGAGGGCGCGGAGATGAAGCCTTGAGTTAGGTCTTCAGGGTTGTGGGGGCTTTGCAGCAACCCTACACCTCAGGCCGAACCGACCTTGGGGACGACAACCGTCCTTGCAACCCCAAAGCCTCTTCCCTACCAGCCAAACAGGGAGGGGGGCGCCTAGGCGCGGGTTAGCGACACTAGCCCGAACCCGTCGCAAGGAAGGAAGAGAAAGACTCCCCCGTCCTTAGCCCTTGGGAAAGAAGACAGAAAGACCCATCGTCATATACTGTCATGTTGTCTAGCGACCGCGTGCTTTCGCACCCAGAACCACTGACAGTTGTGGTGGGGTCAATAAGCCACGAAATGGTGGCGAGAGCAACCTTCGGCGAACAGATGAGGCCCTTGGGGTGGGCCATCCGTGTTCCATTCAAGGGGGATGTGATAGTTGAAACCTTGAAGTCTCTCATGTAGTTTCAGGCGAACCAACCTTGAGACCAGGGTGCGTGGGTGCACTGGGAGGGTGCATGCCCTCTCTGGGCTGTGTGGAAGAGACCCAGTACATGCGTTCGTGCATGGGGGGGTGGGTGGGGGGGGGTGGGGTGCCACAACGCTTGTCTAAGATCCAGACAGAGGCTGGATCGCTCTTCCAAGCATCATTCGACACACCTTCAGATGCCTGAGAAGCGTACATGCGAATCGGCTGCATCCAACTTTGTCTGTTTGCCGAGATGTTTCGTGATTTGCACGACATCTTCGACGAGGATTGCACGCGGAATGCTTCGGAGCAAGCGCAGGAGGACCGAGGATGAGGGGTTGACAAGCGACTCACAGCCAAGTTCGTCTGTGAGGAGCCCGGGCCTTCTGAGGACCTCGCGTGATTTGAGAAGTGCGGGAAGGTACACTTCGAGTTCCGAGAAGCGTGCTTCCAGGTTCCTTATCTCTAGGTCTAGCACCTGCCTCATTTTCGTCGCGTTCCCTGCCTGACAGTCGGAGCATGCAAGCCGGCGACGGCCAAGATTAGAAGCAGTTTAATGAGACATACCGAACATGTAGCACGATATGATCCGTGTTCTTCTTGGCTATTGACGGCTGAGGGTGCATTGGCTCAAGGTGGACTCGATAAAGTCTGAAACGGACACCGGTACTTTGAAGAGCTTGCTGGGTCTCCGCTCCTGCAGTGGCAAACCTGATGGCGCTTGAATGCAGATTTCGTCTTGATCTTGCGACATGCGGCAAGCTTCGCGTAACGGTTGGTAGGACCTCTATCTTCAGTACGCCTGCAGGTAAGGTGCCATGTCGGTAGAATGTGGTGTATCGGTATATGGTATGTAACCGGGTAGTGCCAGAAGTCGCCGATGTGCAAGTTTGAGGTTGTTTCAGATGAGCAACTGGCGTGAAGTTTTTTACGAGGTCTTCTGAATGCAGTTGCTCGAGAAAATAAACTGATCTACACAGCGGCACGACGCGGTTGGCCACAACCCACACAGTGCATGTCAGCCCGCTGAACAGATAAATTATTTGCACGTTGCAGGTTTCCGAGCGAGCATTGCTTGATGGCGTGTGTTCGCGGCGTTTCGTCAAAAGGGGCCCATATGAGCCCCATTTGAAGGGTGTGTGTCTCTCCTATGCAGGGACAGTGCCACTTCGAGAATCCTTCTGTGCTTCTTGGTGCTGCCCAGCGAAGTGTCTCTAATGGTCGGGATGACAGACAGGAGCAACATCTGCAGAGTTTTAAACCTCCACAGGAAGTCCTCCTGTTTTTGTACGACACATCAGTGGTCTGTGGGAACAGTTTCGACCCTCCCAGTTCTGTTTGATCTCTTCTCTACCTGCTGCGACGGTACTAGCTTGGCGCCGTTGCCTCTTTACTGCAGAATTTAGCAATGATTCGTGCCGTGCCCAGGGTTGTGTGTCCAGCACGTTTCTGGTATCGACAAGGTAATGATCTGCCAATGTTTGCCATATCTGACTTGGGGCACCATGAAGCAGTCAAAGGGTAGCCTCGCCTGCTCTCGCTGGATATCCTGTTTATTTCGAGGGCAGGCATGGCCAGTTTTCCAGTAGTTTAATTTAGATAATGGTTTTGCTGAGCTATTTTTGAATATCATGACGATGACGAGCTGGGATTCACAGTCCCAGCCCGCCCATGTAGTCGGCCACAGTGTGCCTATGACATGTTGACCGACCGGGCTGTGGAAAATCTGCCATGTTAGGAGTTTGTCTCACGCGGCTCTTGCTTTCTGCTATGCACGGAGACCGAATGAGATATGGCACATTTCAGCGAGATGCAGCATGGTGCTTGTTCTGGCTAGGTTCGTGGCCTCCTGCACTGGGTTCCAGAACCAGCCAGCAAGCTTCGAAGCGAGTGGGCAGAGTGAGCCTCTCGGGAGTACTGTCTTTATGGTGTTGGATCCTCGCTCAACATGTCGCCACAGCTGCGCTGTGTGTGCTGTGATGCTTCGGTTGTTACCGTTCTGAATAGTGTGTCGGCTACTCACAAATTCATGTGCCTAGGTGCGATCACATTAAGGACCGTAATGAAAACACACTTTGGTGACTCCACCACACATACTACGGTGTCTTCGAACCCATACCAGACAACTTTGCAGATATGGCCGTTTATGAGTGGTAATCAGCATGAGTGAAGCAGCCGTTCTGACAGTCTGGCGTTCTACAAGGAGCCTTCGTGCCGGACATCGCAGCTGCAGCGAGTTTAGGCCTCAGGTCTGTTTTTTGCGCGGAAAGACCTGTACATCTGGTTATGAGGGGTTGGAATTTGTTGGCTCTCTGCTCTGTCTCTGTGTCATGTCGCTTGGTGATTTTTGCTCCAGATCTTCAGAGTCAGGTCAATCTTATCCTGCAACGCACGCACGAGCTCGCTGGACTCCTGCCCCTCGGTTGCATCTGATTGTTTTCCTTCCCAGGATGGAACGCAGTGATTGTTGCGCCAACCGCCTCGTCATGAAGCTTTGCAAGTTCAGCAGGCGCTACTGCCGCTACTGGGCTGATTGAAGCAGAATCCATGGCAGTGTTCATCTGCCACTCGACTCATGCCTAAGGACCTGCACGATGCATAGTGCCGCGATCCTGCGACACACTGGCAGCCCGTCGGAAAAGTCCGTTCCAGTGCAGGCTGTGCTTAACAGAAGAATTTCCCCTGCCTTCCATGCAGAGGAGTATGCCATTAAGTCTAGAAAGGGTCGAACGGGCAATTTGGACGAGAGCAATTTCGCACCATTTGTCGACAACGGTTTCTTCCTTCTGTAGAAGATGGAAGGCTTTCCTGACAACATGACAAGCGTACCTGTAGACAAGAAGTGAGAGCGGGCTCTCATCAGATTCAAAACTAGCCACATGTGTGACATGGACAGGACATCGTGCCGCGATTTGTCGCGTTTTTTCATCTAGCTTCCCCTGATTCCGTGAGTTCACACTAGGGTACGCTTTGTCACCCTATGAGCTCACAGCATGTTTCAGCTCGCTTGATGTCGCTCCTCTTACCTCTCGAAGTATGGAGACAGGAAGGATGCCTTCTTCGGAGCGTGCACGCCTTCTTCCTGGAGATAGATCGCAGTTTCTGCTTCCCATTTCGCGTAGAGATTAGAACGTGGTGCGCACGCGGGTGATGCTATTACTATTTTGGTGCTCTGAGGCTTTGGGAGCTCTTTGAGGGTGCTTTGGTGTATGATATTGGGATTCTTGGTGTGAGGTTGGAGCACTCTCGAGCGAACTCTGAGACTTTGGCTTACCAGTAGTGCGAGACCGGAGAAAGTTGCGGTGTGTGGGGTCTGCAAGAGCAGGCACGATTTCTGATGGGTGGGTCCCTCGGGTGCTATGTACCTAATCACCTCGTGCATGAACGGAAATCCTCTGCAGCGCAGGAGGCGCAGACCTATCGCTTGGTGCGCAGTGAGGTGGCCAAGCTTTGGCCCAGCAAGAGGTGGAAGCAGAGCGAGGGGAGGGATTGCAAGCGGTTTCCTCGTGTCCTGAAGAAAGTATTCAAGAGAAGGGCAGCAAACGCATTGGTATATGATGCAAGTGCAACTTGGGCTTTCGCATGGAAGGTATGACCTCATCCACTGCAATTGCATTCACTTCTGCGAGGCCTCTTGGTTCGCGACAGCTGTTCGGTTACAGTGAGCCATAGCAACATTCTCCGAGCTTTGCTCTTCTTCGAAGATCTGAAGCATCGCCTGCATTTTTGTAGATTTTCTTTTGCACGGCGGTCATTGAGGACCTAGCCCAACGTTTGGGGGCCAAGCCAGTGCCTGGATGGGTGCGGCCTCTTAGATCTTCGAGTTCACTGCATACATATATACGTACATCCACAATGCGATTCCATATTGAGGGCATTCAATAGGTATGTTATACATGGGCGTTTATATAGTTATGTATAGTAAACTTGCATGCACGCACTCATAAGCGAGGCTCGTCCAGTGCCAAAATGTCATTATACAGTATGCGACATGTGTGCATGTATACGCAAATACACACACACACACACACACACGCACACACACACACACACACACACACACACCCACACACACACACACACACACACACATATATAGATATGATCCCGGTTCGGCCGGGCTTTTCAATACCCTCATGGCAGAGTCCTGGGTTCAAAGTGTCCACTGTCACAAGGATCGGGTGTGTTTGGGGCGAGATCCTTGTGACAGTTGATGGTTTTGGAGCCGCCATCTGCGAGAAGTGCGCGCAGTCACAAGGATTAGGGGCATATTTGGACCTGGGCGTGCCGTGCCGGGGGGGATAGGGGGGGGGGTCGTGGAACCGAGAACTGGAATCATATATATATATATATGTATGTATATATATATATATATATCTGTATATGTATATGCATATATAGTATATACACACAGACATTTTTTGTACCTATATATGTATAGGAAAATAATATGTGTACATGCATACAGCGTATACATATGTATACACAGATCAAGCGAGTATATCCATAGCAAAGGTACCTGTATATGTATATGTAATTGTATATGTAGTTGCATATGTTTATGTATACGTATATGTAAATGTATACACATACGTATAGGTATAGGTATATACTGTATGATTGTGCAAGTTTATGTGTATGTGTATGTGTACGTGTATGTGTATGCGTAGGAATCTGTATGTGTATGCGTATGTGTATGTATGGGTGCATGCATGTGACATCAGGTTATGCTAGCTGCATTGTGTTGTGTCTTCATTGCATTGTGCGGTGCTGTATCGCCTTGTGCCATGCTGCCGGTGTGGCCGTCTTGGTCGGCTTCGACTGCTACAGTTCTACTGGAACACCAAAACGCTGATAAGCTGGGACTCATTCTTGCTACACACATCTACGCTGTAGGGTTTGCCAATCTACTATTGGGTCGTGGAACAGTGCCACCAGCCGTTAAGCGGCAACATGGAGATTCATTCCTATGTCATCTTTCTTCCATGAGTGTCGCCTGCATTTCCAAGATTTATCTGAATCCCAAATGCTGTCAAGCAGATTTGTTGTGTAAGATTATCCAACAGAGATCTTCAGCACTGGCACCAGATGTGTTGCAGCTCCAGGTCCGAGGGCTTCATGAGACCGGAGGCCCGTGGCACTGAGCTGCGGACTGGATCAGATCATTATGTAGTACGTATCATGTCTACGATTGTGTGAGGAATTTGGCTTCGGGGCTTATGGTCTTTGATGGCGCTCCAGGTTTTGACCCTGTCAGTGCAAAGCTCTACTGTCACGTAAGAATACCATGCGTCAAGGGAAACGTTGGAAGGGCGAAGTTGCAGCCCTGTTATCTCAGCGACAAGACCTATTTAGGACACTTGTCAATGCATCAATGGTTTCATGTTGTGCCGAGGGCTTTCAAGCCCGAAGCCCCATTAAAGAAAAGGTATGAATGTAACAGTACAGTACCTGTCTAGAACCCCTATATATAGTACCCCTCTAGTAGAGCTACAGCTTCGGAGATTCAAACCCCAAACACAAAACTTTCTTTGATATGCCAGCCGCCGCTGCCTCGCTGGTTCGGGGCGCCTCGGCGATGGGGCGGCTGCTCCTCGGGCGCGGGGCTCACAATTGAACATATGACATGCATATATATATATATATATCATCTAACATATATAGTAATTATATATATATATATATCATATACAGTATATAACACATTACAATATATACAATATGAAAAAAGCTGGTAACACATAATAGATACTCTGTTCATTGAAACATAGAACCTATAGTACATAAGATATAACATGATACAAACAATGTAATCCAAGTAATGTATTCATTATACTATGTAATGTGAACATGAAATGTAAGATACAGTATGCAGAGTACATACTATGGTGTATGTATATACCTATGATGTTCATTGCACAGGTTATCAAAATATGTAGTATATTTAACATGTAACATGCAGAGTATAATATATCTATATATATATATATAGTTAACATGTGGAATTAATGCATAATGGGTAGTATAAAACATGTAATACTGTAATATTTAATATCTAATGGACAACAGCAACTACAGTACTACTACAACAACAACAACAACTACTACTACTACTGCTACCACTTCTGTTACTACCACCACCACCACCACCGCCACCACCACTACTACTACTACCCTTGCTGCTGTTGATAGAGAACAGATGATCAGTAATAGGTACTATAACCATTTATATATATATGCACACTATATACTATGTAACATCTGTTTTTGATACCTACTATAGATCACGTGATATATATATATATATATATATTGCATCATACATAACATTATGTATAACATGTAGTATTATTTATTCTAAAAATAGAACATGCAATATACATACTATTTAACATCGAGACTTCTGGTCTTCTGAGTTTATAACATCTACGGTATATAATGCATGACATAAATGATACAGTACATAGTACAATATACAATGCTATATAGTATATAGCATATAGTCAGTAGTCCAATATAAACAGTTTCTAAGATGTTGCATGCTGTGCATTATGCACGTTTGTTTTCCTGTCTTGTACTGTATACAACATACCATGCAACATCTAAGTAGTCTTGGGGTCTCGGGCCTGTGGGAGCGAGAGCGGCTGGGTGTTGTGCTAGCGCAAGAAGCATACTCCAGAAAGCTGGCCAGTGCTACGACAGCCAATTGTGGACCAAGGAGACAGCAAGGTGGCAGTGATCCGCTTCAGGCCTCTGCATGGAAGTCCGAACATGGCTGCGCTGACATCTGCTGATCTGCTCTGGGCAGTGTGTCTCTTCCCAACGCTTTCAAAATTAATTATGCCTGCAGGGGCAGCTCGCAGATGAGACGCAGGCCAGGTCGAATCTGGCATCCTTTAATTGCGCTGCAATACTCACAACTCCCACTCGTCTGACGGTGAGCGGCTCTAGAGACCACGCAGGAATTCCCACACCTGTCTTGCGATGTGTGCGAGGATTTTCTCCGCGCTCACCCGGAGGCGCGAGAACCGCCTCGTGATTGCTGCGCCAACTGTGACTATTGTCGGAGCTTGGGCAGCCCAGTACCGGACAGTCAGGGGTTGCAAGGCGAAGTGATGTCTGTAGGAGATTGATTGCACATGCAGTGTCAGGCCACAGCATCCGGCGCTTGACACGCTGGTTTTCACCCAAGGCAGCAGTGAGTTCCAGTGCATTCCCATTTTAGGCAGTTGAAAGGCAAAACGCCCCTGCGGTGTAAGTGATCTTCGGTCCAGCGCAATGCAGGATTGATTGTGTGGCTCGCACTGAGCAAAGGCAAACTACATTAAGATACCATCGAGAGGAAGAGTACATCGGACAAAGCTGAGTGCTATCTGCCATAAAGCACCACAGGCGCACATGCATGCATGTCATACCTGGACGAGGGTAAGGCAAGCACATCCTCCCATGAGTAGAGCCTGAAGCGAACAGAGGCAATCGACAGACATAGAAGCTTCAAGCATGGTGGCTCAAACTCTAAGCAGCCCTGAACTCTAAGCCCTAAGTCCCAAACCCTAAGCCAAAGGAGCCAGAACCAGCCTGCCTCGATGAGGCCCTCTTGGTGGAGACGCTAGGAAAAGCTCCTCAAAAAAAGCTAGAAGAGCACCCTAAGCCCTAAACCCGAAGACCGGAAGTTGCAGGTGATGAGTTGGCAGGCCTGTGACCGCAGAGTCGCCGACACGGCGAGAGGCATTCCAGAAAAACGGGGCAGTGCGAATCAGCCGTACGACCATGGGACTTCGTAAGTAGGATGAGGTATGTTTCAACGGGTTACAAGTACCAAAATACACTTACTAAGTCTCCTCACCCTTCAACAGATGTGATGCCGTTACGCACAGCTTCCAGGGTGACGACATTGAGCAGTAGCCTGAGGAACGCAGAATGCTGGTTGAAATCATCAGGAGCTTGGGTAGCAGCCAGAGGTTCCCCGTACTTGCAGGTTGTGCCTGCAGCATTGTTCAATGTTAGAAGAACGGCCCGTGTCAAGTCTGTCGAATTACGAACTCTGCATCCATTATGCATTGAGTCTGCGCAGCTCGCATGTGACGATGGACAGTGCTGTGCACTCGGACATAGGACTCTGCGGCACTTGCCTCTCAAGACCGCGCTCTTTGGCGCGGGCATATCAGACATGTCTAATTTAGCTGATGCCATCCGTGCCTCCAAGCATGAAGGCATGGAGCGCACGATGGCTCTCCTGCAAGAAAGCTTTGCCTCTGCAGTCGAAGCCGATCAGGCCTTCAGGGTTTGCCAGCATTTTGCCAACAGCACCGAACTTTTGACAAGTATCGTTTTCGTGAGGTTGTGAGTATCAAGACAACGACCTGGTTCCCTTAGCTCATCATTCGTAAGCTAGGTTCTGCTATGTCTTGCTACATGACCGGTCACGCTGATTACCATCTGTGGCTCTGATAAATGCTTGTCACGCTGGGCAGGCAGATATACCGTAGACACTGTCGGTTTAGGACGTTTAGTGTCTGACTGTTGGTGTGTTGCGTGTTTAGGTATGAGTGTCTGAAGAATGTCTCTTCTTCACGTGTGCCCATACACACACTCCCTCAAATATCAACAAGAGTACGGTAGAGCTAGAAGAGTTGTTTAGGTTGACCTGCTCTCAGTTCAAACCGCTTGCAAGCGACACTTCCCTGGCAAGGCCTCTTGTTCAGCTGCCTTGAAAGCCTGCAGAAGACTCGCTGCATGGCAGTCTGCTATGGTCATCCTGTCTGCGCTGAGCCCCTGGACTTAAGAGGGCCCTCTTAAGAGGGCCCTGGAAGGGGGACCTGACAAAGTGCCGTGAAGCTGAAGTCTTGTCAACTGTGTTTCCGCTGCTTCTCAGAGGTGCGAGCCAGAGCACTCCGGATGTGATCACATGCGGCGGAGCTCTGAGCTGCCTTGCGAGGGCTGGGCAATGGCAGCATGCCATGGCACTGCTGGCACAGATGAAGGCATGGCAGGTTCAGTCCAATTGCATTACGGCGAATGCTGCTTTGAGCGCCTGCGAGAAAGGAAGTTCCTGGATCCATGCTTTGAGCCATCTGTCTCGTATGGCTGAAGATCTTTTGCCTCCTGATGCAATATCCTTCAGTGCTGCGATCAACGAGAAGTCAAAGCCCTGGCCATGGGTGTTGTGCTTGCTGAGAAAGATGGAGAGGACAGTGAGCCCAGATGTCATCACATTCAATGCAGCTATATCGGCGTGCCGGCATGCAGGGGGGTGGAGAGTAGCACTGCAGCTTCTGGAAAAGATGCAGGCGGACCATCTGCTTCCTGACTCGTTTACACACGGGGCTTTAACTACGTCCCTAGAGCGCGAGAGCAAGTGGGAGCTAGCACTTGCACTTGCTGCCGATATGAAGGGCCTCACCGTGGAAATTTCTGCGTTTGCGCGAGCTGCCTTGATATCTGCATGCGGGCAGGCATCACAGTGGGTTCTCACTCTGAGAATCTTAGAGCAGCTGGGCAAGGAGCGGATACGACTCAACGAGGTGCTGATCGGCGCTGCCATTCGTGCTTGTGGGGAGGGCGGCCAATGGCATCATGCCATGCACTTGCTAGACCGAATGGTGGGCGAATCTGTGGTTCCAAATCAGATCATTTACAATGCCGCTGTCGGCGCACTCGAAGGGACGGGCCATTGGACCACGGCACTGTGGCTGTGGGATGACATGTGCATGCGCTTTGTTCAGCCGAATCGGGTGACACACAATGCGCTGATGCTTGTTTGTGGAGATGCAAGCCAATGGTCGTACTCCGTCGAGCTGTTGCAGCTCCCTGAGGTCTCTTTGGAGGCCGACCTGTCGTCTTGGTCTGCTGCGATGTTAGCCTGTGATGCCGGCTCTCAATGGCAAGTTGCAGTTGGGCTGCTGGCGACTTCGCCACTCGGGCAAGAATCGGATGCAGCTTGGAGGAGAGCTTTCGGGATCTGCATGAGTGCTTGCGATCGATGCCATGAGTGGGACATGGTTTTGGGCCTATTCGGAAGCTTGAACCGTGCTGCTATCGCTCCGGATTCTGCACATCTCCAACTCGCCATTGCTGCTTGCAGCCGGCTTGCAAGATGGCAGATGGCATTATCGCTTCTTGCGACCGCAGTAAACCTGCGGATCCCATGCAGCATCGCTTCGTGCACCATGGCTGTCACAGCATGCAGGGATGCAGCGGCGTGGCAAGCTGCACTGACTTGTTTGGCAAGCGTGCCAGCACATGGTTTGACTGCAGACCCTACCATGTACGCTGCGACAATCAGCGTTTTGGGCCATGCCAGCATGTGGCAGCGGTCGATAAGCTTGTTGCAGGAGACACTTGCCCAAGAAGAGCTGCAACTTGCTGGACCTGCGGTGTGCGCCGTCATCTCTGCTTGTGACAGAGCCAGTCAATGGGAGAAGGCACTACATGTTTTCCAGCAAGCAGCAGCCGAAGACACCACTCTGGAAGCCTCATGGCACCAAATCAGACATGTGCCACGCCTCCAGCATCCATTTTCGATGTTGAACTCCGGACCTGACCCTGTGTGCTTAGGTTTCCCTTGCGACCGCTGGCATTAACGCTTGCCGAACTGGCCGGACCGTGAGATGAATCTATATGTTTTTGACAGGTCTTCAAATCAGCACACGGTTCGTTCTCATGGATGACCAAGTCAGTAGGACGCGGCTTCCGCAGGAAATGGCAGCATGCGCTAGTGCTGTATCACGACGTCCAAGAGCCGACCATCGTGCCACAGCTTCATTGCGGCAAAGTTCTTGTCCGGACCTTGCATTTTTGCGGTCTCAATGCCGTCTCGTAGTCTTCTAGAAGTCTCAATGTCTGTCTGTCCCCAGTCATGAGTAGGACTGGAGAGTGATTTGAAGGCCGAGCGCCCTCTGCGAGTCCATGCCCATGTCTGCGGACTGCATCTGAGGTGTGTTGCAATGCCGCACTAAGCGCTTGTGCTGAGGAAGGGGTCTGGTGCCGAAGCCGCAGTTCATACTCTGAAGCTACCCCTGAGGCCAAAGCAAAGGGCCCATGTCTGAGCCAAGGCAGAAGGCTTTCTGCCTCTTGCAGCAGCTCCAGTCCTCAGGCGCGTTGCCAGATGAGGTCAGTTGTGGGGCTGTGCTCAGTTCATGCGAGCTTCGGCCGATTCCGTTTGGGTAGCAACATCAAGCGAACCTTCATATGCCTTATGCTCTGATGTGCTGTCCGCCGAGGAACGGGCTAGCCAATGGCAATTAGCGTTGGATGCGTTCTGGATGCTGGGGCCTTCGGTGGAGACTTTCAAGAATCCCACGCAGTGCTACGACATCCTGAATCGAGTTTTTGCTACTTCAACACAGTGGGAGCATTGTCTGGCACTTGCCGAGACGATGCTATTGTGCAGGCTGGGGTGGGATGCAGAAAGCCGACCTCAGCATGTATAAGAACACGGATAGGTCGACAGCAAGTAAGTCCTTTGCAGCCATCAACTCCAGTCGATGGCACGCCCGAGAGGCTCTCTGCCAACGGTATGCACGTTGCATCCACTGCCAGGGCCGTACAGTCGGCTCTGGGATCCTTGGCAGAGCTTGTCTTTTGCCGCAGTGTGTGAATGCCATTTGTAAACGGTCTGGTGGAATGGATGCCGAGGATTTTACATTGGCTGAAAGACATACCCACGTCCTGTAGCTTGTCCACTTAGGCATAGGCGCATCTCAGAAACTGCTTCGTGAAGCACTCGAGCGGTGGACACTTGGAGCAGATTTAGTTGTGGTGCAGCCTTGGGTCACCCATGGCAGCACATGTGCCGATTTCGAGGCACGCAGCATCTTTCTTGGCACCACTCCCTTCCTGCATCGCTTCTCTCCCCCCTTCCCCTTCGCTCCTCCCCAACTAAGAGTGTACTGGGCCTGCACATGCTTGCAGCAGAGAGTGTTCGATTTTGCCCAGGAAGGCTCGGGCCACGCCTGAGCAACTTGCGGTTCTGAACTACGATCTGAGATGCTTATGCGACAGGCTGGGCCCACTTGTGGGTTGTTGCACTGTGTTGCTTTCGTTACATGGGCACTTGCTTTCGCAGAACTGTCGCAGAAGCGGCGCAGGCCAGGATCACCAAATATCTTGGCCGCGCGGTCCGGCATTGTCGCGGTCGCGAAGCCTCCGGATACAAGCACCGAAGCAACGCAGCTGCAGCTACGATCGGAACCGTCAAAAGACTGTTAGGATGTTTTAGGATGTTGACTTGTCAGGACATCCTGAAGGAGTTGGCAGACTCAGTTTTGGAAGTGTCCGGTTCACGGAACCTTGCCCAGTTCACCTCTTGTTCGCGCCTCGACCTCCCCACTTCTGGCGTCCTTGTCGTCGCTCACGGTGGAGACGGATCCCCTGCAGCAAACTGGCTTCAGGCACAATTTGCCAGCCGGGTCTGCGTGCGAAAGAACTACCTTTGCGTCTGTGTCGGCCGTACTTTGGGGGAAGTGGGTACGAAAGGTGAGATCACAACGCCACTTCTGCTGAAGCAAGGCGAGGGCATGTCGGGAGTGGCTGTGCCCTCCGATGAAGGCCTTGAGGCGCATACGCTCTACGAAGTCTTGGCTAGGCACCCATTTTCCGCCCAAGCAGAGGGAGAGGATCCTGAATTGATTTATCTGCGAGTGCAGCCGCTCACAGGTCGCATGCACCAAATCCGTGCCCATTTTGCAAGCATCTTCCGTCCGCTCCTTGGGGATCGCAAGTATTGCGATGCGCTAGGGCCGCTCGGTTCTGTTTCTCCGCAAGAAGCAGAACAGGTTTTCGGGCTGTCCCGACTTTTCTTGCACTGCCAGAAGATGGAGATGCAAGATCTCGACGGCCAACTGTTTGAAATTGAGATGCCGCTGTCTCCAGACTTGCAGCGCGTTGTCCGGCAACTGTCCGACCCTGGCACATGGCAGAACAAAGCAAGAGCTCTCAAAGGCAAACTTACGAGGACGGGTGCACGTCTGGGCTGGTTCTGATCTTCTTGAATGAGCGGGAAGAAGGGATCTCTTCGGACTAAGGGACCCGGCTTGGCATGGGCTTGACCGAGACCGAGAATCATCTACAGCTCCAGGGGTTATCCAAGTCTTCCCGCGTCATGCGCTGTTCAAAATCACCTGGTTCGAGCAAGGCTAGCATTTTCTGCATTTTCCTTGTTTTGGGGTTGGGATATTGAGATCAGATCTGCTGCCAAATGAAGAGTGCTTGGTTGCCGGCAGTTGAGCATTGACAGTTGAGTGGGGAGAGCAGCCATTGCATTGCTCGGAGAAGAGCTTTGAGAACAATAACTACAGGGTCAGGAGTTATGCACTTGCTTTTCTGAGTGAATTTCGGAGTCAATTAAGGGAAAACAAACACAAGCTATTTTTTGCTGATCATCCTAGGGTCATGAGCATATGCCAAGATATTGCACACAACTGCTGTCTCGCCCCTCACCTCCGCTTGGGAGTCGCCCCCGCCAGCATGGAGGAAGATAACGGCCTGGCTGGCCGTGTCCAGAAAGCTCTGCGCGAGAGCTTCGCACTGACCTCCGAGACGCTGAAGATCTTGGCCGATGGGGAGTGCACCAGCGAGGAGCAGGAGACCAAAGCGCGGCAGCTGTCCGCCGCATATGCATCGAAGCTTGCCTCTGTGCGGCAAGAGCTGATGTCCGCCATCGATGACACGACAGAGGACGCCGGGCGAGAGGATATCGCCAGCCAGGTGGCCGAAGAGGCCGCGGCTTGTGCCGAGCTGCGTGCTAAACTTGGGCTTGCCAGGGAACGACTCCGCTTGGCCTCAGCACTTCAAGAGCTCCCCGTGTGGTCTGCGGCTGCTAGCCGCAAGGACCCTGACGAAGATGCTGGCGACCAGAAGCGGCAGAAACTTGGAAATCAGGTCTTATCCATATTAGAAGAATCATTTTGTGGGAACTGGGGTCTGGAGTCTGCTTTCTGGGGTCCGGGATGTAGGGGTTGGGGGGTTTTCATTATCAATTATTCAAGAAAGATTAATATAACGTTTTCGGAACGATATTTAATAGGTCTCTTGATAGAATTCTATGGTAAATTTTGATCTTATTCAGAATTGAACTTATATTCTGAAAATTTGGAGTATAGTATATTTGAAATTTGGAAAAAACTATTCCAGGTAAAGGTTAATATATAACTGGAGTGGAGCCGCTATTTCTATTAGCCGGTACCGGCAATCGATATAAATATAGTTATAGCATAAAAACCTCGAACTCCGAACTGGAACTCCGAACCCCGAATCTCGAATTCCGAATTGGGATCGAATTAGATATAAGGGGTCATCTAGGACGAATATTAGCAATAAATTAGGAAATGCTAATATATGTAAGAAAGAGAATAATGAGATGAATACTGATACAAAGGAGATAACGAGGGATAGAATTAGATATATTAGAAATATAATCTTATTTAGAATAAGATAAAACCGTCTTCTGAAAAGTAGATTCTGGCTAAAGAAATTTGAATTTATTGCATTATTTAGAATATTTTATCTACTCTATAAAACGCTATGGCCAAACTGGCTCTATGCGGTGCAGCACGCTTCGGGGCGCCTAGCTTTCAAAATTTTGGAGAAATTTACAGACTACGGCACGCGAGCCGGTTCGGCCTACCCAGGACCCAAAATTTCCGGAAAATTTAGAAGCTCGGGCTGCAGCTTTAAGAGGGCGGGGCCTCTTCGGTGGTCTCGGGCTAGGCCCAGTCTTCTAAATTTTGGGAAATAGCTCGACGCCTCGGTCTCGAAATT